GCAATCCTCTTCACTCGGTCTATCAATTCAAAGATTAATTTCATCAAGAAACACCCTCACACACACACCCAAAATAATGTTTGACCAAATATATAGGCATCCCATGACCTCATCAAGTTGACACATAAAATTAACCATCGCATAGAATTCACTTCCTTAAGAATTTTACTGTGCTGTATCTGGAGCTGTATTTTCAGGGAGAATAAGAGGAGAAAATGATCTTTCTCAAGCCAAAGGGATCCCTACTATTTGAATTCTATCATCTGGATCCTTTCCCTGTTCCTGCCATCATCAGGCCTCCTAGTGGCAACAGTAGCCATTGTCCTTTCAATTTAGTGAGTTGTGCCCAGTGAGGGACCATCACTGCAGGCAGAATTGTTGAGTGACCAGATGTCTCAGGTCCAGGTAAAATTGAGTACCTAACCCTACAAAATAGAAAGTCCCAAATATATGTTTTAGAGGTGGTTGTTGTGGAGGCAAACTGTAAAAGAGGTCTCCACTCTTTGTGATATGTGTTCTGACTTGAGGAACATCTGGCTACCTTCTATCTAATACTTGGTAACAATACATAAAACAAATTTAAGAATGAGAAGCTATTACTTTACGAGAAAATGGGAATCTAAGTAGAACAGTGGTTACCAGAGTGGACAGGGAGGGGCTGAAGAGATATTGATCAAAAAATACAAAATTTCAGTTAGACTGGAGAAGTAAGTTCAAGAGATCTATTGTACAATATGGTGGCTATAGTTAATAACAATATATTGCACATTTGAAAACTGTTAGAAGAGTATATTTTAAGTGTTCTCACTGCAAGTGCCTTATAAGTATGTTAGGCAGTACATATGCTAGTTATCTTGATTTAGCCATTCCATAATGTACACATATTTGAAAACATGTTGTATACCATAAATATATATAATTTTATTTATCGATAAAATGAATAAATAATAAAATAAGTGGAGACAGACAAAGAAATTACATTAGTGATAAACCAACATGACAAAAGAGACCTGAATGAAGGAAAATGCCAGATAGGTCATGTTAACAGTTTTCCCTATCATCGATGAATGTTTACCATTTTCTATACACTGCTCTAGATTTATGTATTTATTTAATTTGTTTTTTGAGACAGAGTCTTACTCTATCATCCAGGCTGGAGTACAGTGGTGCGATCGTGGCTCACTGCAACTTCCACCTCCCTGATTCAAGTGATTCTCCTGCCTCAGCCCCCAAGTATCTGGAACTACAGGCCCGCACCACCATACCTGGCTGATTTTTGTATTTTTAGTAGAGACAGGGTTTTGCCATGTTGGCCAGGATGGTCTTGAACTCCTGAGACCTCAGATGATCCACCCACCTCAGCCTCCCAAAGTCCTGGGATTATAGGCGTGAGCTACCATGCCTGGCCTAGATGTATATGCATTATCTTAATCCCAACAATCATCCTATGAAGCAGGTACTACTGTTATCCCTTAAGGACTGAGGCTCAGATATGTTAAGGCAGCTCTGGTAATGCTCCACAGCTAAATCTTTGGAGACCTGAATTCTTAAATCAACTTACCTGACCCCCATAGCTATGTTCTTATTGCTATAGTGTATTGCCTCTTATTTATAAAGAAAATTTCTTGACCTAAATTAAAAGGATCTCTGGTTTTACTACCAACATGCTTCCAAATGGATCCCTTTGGATAGGCATTCTCTTTACTCCAATCGGTAGAGGTAGAGAATAAGGTCAGGCTAAGGTTCCACTGTTAGTCTACCCTACCACTTTGTTGTCAAGACTTTGCCTATGAAATGGTGGAAGCAACAAGTCACTTAACCTCTCAACTTCAGTTTTTGAATCCATAGACTAGTCTTAATGCCCACCACTAATTAGGTCACTGTTAGGTGCAAATGAGAGCATTTATGTAAAATCGACTACAGTTTCTTTCTCTGCTGTCCTATATGTCCCCCAATATGTACTCCCTCAGCCAAGTGACAATAGACACCCTCCAAGGAGGTTGTATAGAATTCCCATGGTGCCCCATCGAAACTCATATTTCTGACAGTACACTGAAGTTCCAAGGGCTCTTAATTTAGGAGAGGATCCATTCAGTAAATAGCATGCTCTAGGAAATGACAAACTCTCTGTCTCTTGAAACATTGTTCTATTCTTCCCTGTTTATCTTACCTACTGTTGATTGGTGTCTCACAACTATAAAACCTTTTATTTTATTTTTTGGTGGTGGTTTAAGGATCTAGTTCTCAAGATGGAAATTCTCAACTTGGAAGGTGTCATTACTCTTATTATTGTTATTTTGTTTTTTTTGCAGTGCTCTGAATTTTTACATGTGTTATTTTTAAAAATTTAGGTTTTGAAATGAAAGCAACTAAAATGAATATTGTCTAAACATGGAATCTTTGAAAACTTATGGCAACTTGCCCCCATTTCTGATAACTGAAAACATTCTAGTATATTGCAACACCATTGCAAGCCACTGCTTAAGAGTCCCAACTGAAGAAAGTTTCTCACCATTCAGTATGGTAAAGTGACAACCAACTTTTAGTCATCAGGAAAAATACATGTCAACAAATAATTTTTAACTAGGCTCTTAATCATAGGCTACACATGGGATTGCTGACGTTCTGTATGAAGTGGAAATTTATTTAATTAATGATTACAAAAGTTTCTGATTACTTTGGCCCATTTTCATGAGAATCCTTCCCTCTTTGTCTTGTTCTGTCTGTTTTCCTTATTTGATTCAAAAGTGAGAATCAAATTTTTTAGATTATTTCTGCTAGAAACCTATGGGAAAATGTATATTTAGTGGGAGTACAGTAGCAATATATATTTTCTTGACCTGAATGGGGCAGTTGTATCTTGATCTGAGGGGTGTATCTGGTAATTCTACAGCAGAATAAATTTCTGATGGCAGGGGCACAAGCCAGGAGGTGTCCTTGAATAGGGCCCAGGCACAGAGGTGGTAAATGTTCCTGCCTCCCTCAACTTGGCAGTGAAGTATTTAAACTTATGGAGTCCTTAGAGTGGGAACCAGATGGATCTACTCAGGTGATAGATGTCTTAGGTCAGCGTCTCTTGAGGCAGAGCCTGAGACAGGGATTTTTGTGAAGGCAATTTATTGGGGAAGTGCTCTCAGGAAAAAGAAAGGGAGGGAAGTGGGGTAGGATAGGGGTAGAAAATAAGGACATGGCCTCAGCTGGAGCTACCTTCAGCCTGTGGCCTGCAAGGAATTCTGGAGCATGAATTATACCACAAGGTTAGTCTTACTTGGAGACGAGGAGGCCGGTATTACATAAGCCCTGTCAGTAAGTCATGGGTTGTTGGCTGCCTTCAGGGAAGTGGCTTCTCTGGGAGGGCAGCTCTCTGAAGAAGGGGAAGCTGTGGACCGTTAGCAGTGACACTCAAGGCTGTTGGGGGATGGTTGGGTCCATTCAGTGAAGGGAACCTCAGCAGGGTACCAACAGCATCCACTACAGTAAGAAAGTTTCTTTCTCTTTTCATGTCAAGGATTAAAGAAGGAAGGAAGGAAGGAAGGAAGGAAGGAAGGAAGGAAGGAAGGAAGGAAGGAAGGAAGGAAGGAAGGAAGGAAGAAAGAGGAAGGAAGGAAGAAAGAAAGGAAGGAAGGAAGAAAGGAAAGAAGGAAGGAAAGAAGGAAAACAAAAAGAGAAGTAGGTTAATTTCCTTGCTTTTATTTAAAGAATTTTAATAGAACACTTTGAATAAATGTTTTTCTAAGATTTCAGCCAGAGAAAGACTTAGACTATAACTGTGGTTGAAATCTTTTTGGTTTGCTGGTAATTTGTGGTGACATAAGAATTCCTGAAGCTTAAATTTAAGCTGCTTTCCACAAAACCACAGCAAAAATTAGTTACATGCAAAAAATTATTACTCTTTACCCCTGAAGACAAGTTTCATTGTATAATATATAACTTTAAGCCTTTAAATCAGAACTTTTCACTTATGATTATTCATTTCTCACTCTTATGACCAACATATATTTTCATAAAGGCTTGGTTTGGAAGGGCCAGCAAGATAGTTAAGGGGTAAAATGGCTGGAGTAAGACGCTGACTAGTAATGACTGCTCGAGAACTAGCAGTCATCTGTCTAACTGCCCCATATAAGGGGAGGTTACCTCTCAGCTTTAGCCCAGTATTGCGATGAGACAATGCAAAGCAGTCATGCCAAATTTCTTTAGTTTTTCAAGAGAAAATGAAAACTCGGGTTTTCTATACAAATAACCCTATTTTTGCAACAAACTTAAATTTGTAATACTGTGTAGGTCAACTGTGCAGAGTCCAGATAGCTCCCATGTCACTGGTTTTCTTTTGGAGGTCTGTGTGCTTGCACATTGCTACTAGACTTGAAGTTCCTGGAATGTAAACTATGCATCTCATTTATCTTTGTGTCATGCACGAAAGAGAGCTTTGCATTTAATGGACACTCACTAAATATTTATTCAATGACGGGTTGAAATTTTCTGGAAGCTATTAGCATTCATCATTTGCCTATATTTAAGATGTCTAATTTATCTGGGATTGCTGTGCTAGAGATGAAAGGACAAAAACTAGCATTCCCAGACTCCAGGATTTCACAGTGTATGATAGAACAATGAAAAATCAAACCCTGAGGTGGTGGTTCACACCTGTAATCCCAGCACTTTGGGAGGCCAAGGTGGGTGGATTGCTTGAGCTCAGGAGCTCTATACCAGACTGGGCAACATGGTGAAACCCTGTCTCTACAAAAAAATTAGCTGAGTGTGGTGGTGCATGCCTGTGGCCCCAGTTACTCAGGAGGATGAGGTGGGAGGATTGCTTGAGACCAGGAATTCGAGGCTGCAGTCTGCAGTAAGGCACTGCACTCCAGCCTAGGTGACAGAGTGAGACCCTGTCTCAAAAAAAAAAAAAGAGAGAAAGAAAGAAAGGAAGAAAGAAAGGAAGAAAGAAAGAGAGAGAGAGAGAAAGAAAGAAAGAAAGAAAGAAAGAAAGAAAGAAAGAAAGAAAGAAAGAAAGAAAGAAAGAAAGAAAGAAAGAAAGAAAGAAAGAAAGAACAAACAAAAGTCAGGGAAATGAACACTCAGCCGGCTCCCAAGGTGACAAATGAGAAGAGAAGAGACATTAGAGTAGAATCAACAGCCAGGTTGGTTGAGGAGTGGAGCTCACATGCCCTGCTAGAAGCTTGGCTTTTGCATAAGAGTGATGGGAAGACATGAAAAAATCAAACAAGGGACAGGGCGAGCACATTTTGAGGAAGGAGCATGAGCAGTGGCAATGTGGCCTCAGCCTCATGCTCAGCTAGGGCCTGATAAGCTGCAGTGCCCCTCACCTCCTGTGTGACTGAGGCCATGAAGATGACACATCCATCTTTGCACCATCAAGCACTTCTGGTGGACCAGGGCCCATCATGTCGCCCCTGAATGTAACCAGGGTTTCATCAGTGAAGTGTATTCTTCATATCCTGAGTGCCTGGAGCTTGGCACAGCGTCTTACTCAGTGAGCTGAGCTTGTGCTTATTGCATGCAGGGAGGAAAAAAAGACTGCTGTGAAGTTTGCCAGAAGCAACATTTCTGGCACCCCAATATGGCTGGGAATGGCTAGAAGAGTATGGGAGTGAATTAAATAGCTGGGGAATAAAGCTAAAAGGAAAGCGCTCTTCTCATAAAGCAAAGATCTCCAGTCACTTGCAAGCTGAAAGCTGGTGGCACAGGTTTAGTTGCCCACAACGTGTGAAGAGCAATTTGTTTGAATTAGTTGCTATTAAAAGACTGGTAAGTTAACATTAGCACCTTCACATCTGGTTTATCTTAAACCCCAAACTAGCTGACAATACTTGGCCTGTTGTGGTATTTTAATTCATTAACTGACGTGCTTCAAACATCACTTCAGGTATAAAACTTAGTGTTCTGTTAGTAGCAGGAGAGCATCTTTGGAGAAAAAGATACAGTAGAATCACTAGTATGATTCATTTGTTGTATGCACACCCTGAAATAAATAAAAGTAATACGGTAAACCATAAGAAGACTGAAGTCTTAACCTTCTTGCAGAGTTGCTCACTAGCCTAAAATGCCATTGAGATGAGATGAGGTAAGATGAGAGGAGATGAGATGAGAATATGGGCCCCTCCCAAATTCAACTTCCCTATAAATCTTTGTATTAATTGTTTTTTGGTAATATAAGCCTTGGTTAGGTTAAAGACCAAACAAAAGAAAACTTCATACTACTTTTACATAGTAAAAAATGTTTATATAATTAATGCGCAAAAAATGTGTGCCTGAGACAACAGAATGCAACCTAAAGACAGCAATGTGAATATGGGGATTATGTGGGATAAAAACTTAGTCAACTACAAAGGGCATAACATGTAAACAAGGCTTACTTTATGACTAAATGACAGGCTATTGTAAAACGCATGCATATATTAAGAAAAATTTTCCTAGAACCAAAAGTGTTTACAGATGACAATGTTGTAAAAGTGTTTGTATTATTCAGTTCAGGCTGCTATATAAAACAAAATGCCCATGGACCAGGTGGCTTAAAAAAACAGAAATTTATTTCTTAAAATTCCGTAGGCTAGAAGTCTGAGAGAGGGTGCCAGCATGGTCAGGTTCTGGGGAAGGCCCTCTTCTAGGTTATAGACTGCCATCTTCTCACGGTGCCCTCAGGAGAGAGCAGAGAGAGGTCCTGTTTCTCCTCCTCTTTATAAGGTCATTAATTTTATCATGAAGGCCCCACCTTCATAACCTCATTTAACCCTTATTACCTCCCAAAGATTTCACCTCCTAAAAGCACCATATTGAAGGTTAGAATGTCAACATAAGAATGTGGGGGGATACAAACTTTCAGACCATAACAGTGTGTCAGTGTTGCAGCAGAGATGATGGATACTAATCAAGAATGGCCATTTATGAATGGAAGTCTAATCAGGTGTAATGTTGCTCATTATTTTGAAGACATAGCTGAAAGCCTTTAGAATGAGTTTTGTGAAAAAGCAAAATCTTTTGTGGTGTCTTCTATTGAAGCAGGTGGGAGCAGATTTAAATAATGCCATCCTATTTTTATGATCTTTGATACGGTCTGGTTCTGTGTCCCCACCCAAATCTTATCATGAATTGTAATCTCCACGTGTTTGGGGAGGGACCTTGTGGGAGGTGATTACATCATGGGAGTAGTTCCCCCATGCTGTTTTCATGATAGTAAGTTCTCATGAGACATGATTTCATAAGCTGCTTTTCCCCACTTCGCTCGGCACTCATTCTCTCTCCTGCTGCCCTGTGAAGAGGCGCTGTCTACGGTGATTGTAAGTTTCCTGAGGCTTCCTCAGCCATGCAGAACTGTGAGTCAATTAAACCTCTTTTCTCTATAAATTAACCAGTCTTGAGTATTCCTTCATAGCAGCGTGAGAATGGACTAATATAGTGTTAATGAATATTTGGAATAATGGAAATGAATATTTACCATTACTAAATAACATTTGGAAGAGACACAAGAGGCCCAGGAGAGACACAGTTTCAGGAAACTATGTATTGAGAATAGTCTTGAAAAATTTAATTTAGACTAATCAAAAGTACTAAGTAAGACTTCAAATGGTACTCTTATGAGTACTGTTGGAACTTGATGTTAACATGTCTTTACTATGAAACTTAAATCCAGTGTGGCATTGTTTTAAAAGGACTTGGAACGTAAATCTGCCCACTACATCTTCTATAGAAACCACTGTTTGCTAGAAAGTTAGATTTTTCACTCATCATGAATATTGTAATTAACTCCATGCTTCTGTGTCTGAACCACAGATAGTGCAATACTTTCTTAATAAACGATATGGTTGATACCTAATCTGCTGTAGAACATATGAATTAGGTGACTTGTTCATTCATTATATGGTTCTAAAAGCTTTTTGATTTGTTGGGAAAAAAATGATTTGTTCATATTATTCAAAGGGAAATTATAGAAATAACTATGGGAGAAGTTGGATCAAACTAAATATTTTAAATATTTTTTCTACAGGGGCATTCATTAATAGGTAAAAAGGTACCCAAATATATTATTTAATTTGCTTCCTCCTGACAAAATTATGACTTTGGGAAGCTCATTTGTCAAGAAAGAATATGACCCAGTTTCATATACTGAAATTGCCTCTCCCCACCATGAAAGTGATGGCCTAAACTAACATCCCCAATTTAGGGATTAGAAGACTACATTTCACAAATGGTTTTCTGATTTCAAACTTTTTGAAGACGACCTAAAATTGTCTAAGTTTTTATTTACAATTACTATTATTGGTGTTAGTCCAGAGCAGAGGAACAGTTCCTTGAATATAAAAAAAAAAAAAAAAAAAAAAAAACTGTGGGAAGTCTGTTTGGAAAAACCTGTATTTGTGACTGGCTGTTACTATAATGAATAAAACAAAACATCCTTCCCAGTTTAAAAATATAAGGCTGAATTCTATATATGGCATGCCACAAAGTGCAATACAAGATCTGACATTGCCAGGATTCTTGTTCCTAATCTAAGAGCTCAATTACAAAATTAAAAATGCAATAATTTAAAATTTCACACACACATACACACACACACGGATTTTAAATAGGATGGTCAATACCATAGAACACACACTATAGTCAGTGAAAATAGACACAGTTTAGACACAGGATCTGGCTTTCTCGGACAGGCTTCATTTATTTGTGTTAGCTGTCTGGTCCCTGTCGGCACCTAAACTGCAATGCCTGGTCCAATTTTTGTGTCTATTATGGTAGCACCAAGGTTCTTTGATTGATCATATATACTCACAAGTGGGCTTAGCTTCTTCCTAAAAAATGATGAAGGATGGATAGATGAATAGGTGGAAGATAGATATCAATAAATAGCAGGAATGTATCTCGATTTACACTTAGATGTACAGCATATGCAAATTGTTTACAATTTTTATATCTCTACTTAATTAGTATTTTGAGTCTATGATTCTACCCTAGAAAGGGAAATTAAGCTTAATTTAATATTTCTTCCTCTTTTCTGCAGGGCTCTGGATCAGTCCTGAAGAGCTTATAGGGAACCAGGCATTGTGTTGCAGGAATACTTCTGGTTCTCACATCATTTGTTCCCACAGGATTTTACTGAGACTCCCTGGTTCAGCCTGGTCCTCAGTAGCCTATTCATGTCATTGCTGAACTGCCTGTGGAAAAGGGTGGTGGATCTCTTCACAGATTCTGGGCTTGCTACGTGTAATGGGGACCATTTTTCTGCTGCCAGATCATCCTGGGATACAGTAATCTTTTAGCTGATCCATAGCCTTCTCCTGTCTTGGACCACAACACAGTTAGTTCTTGTCTGGTTCTGCTGCTCCTTCTGCAGGTTGCAGCTTTCTACTCTCCTAAATCTCTCAGAGGTCTTGCCACCTCGCTGGGACTCTTGAGGCAGCAGGATATCAGGCCTCTGTCTCTGGAGTCCACCCACCAGAGTCTGATTTCATCATATCTGTTATTTCTGTACATCTTCCCCATCCTGGAGAAGTTTTTTCTAGCATCGAGGGAATGTTATCCTTCAAGTCTGTTCTTCATATATTTTGGATGAACACAGAACTGCCTTTTTCCCCACAGAACTGAGGATTTTAGAGCTAAAGCAAAGAAATAGCTCTTAGGGTATTCCAACTTTTTACCATTTCAAATTCCTCCCCTGAGGCAATAAACATGACAGAATAATTCCTTAAAGGGAGTGCAGACGTGAGGAGACAGGAATGGGGTGTGAGGTGGCACAGAGGAGAAGGAAAAAGAAACAGAGGGAAAGGAATAGAGAGACAGAGATGTGTGCAACATGAGAAAAAGAAAGTTAAAAACTCCTGTTCTAGGAGACAGTATTTAAAAATGACTCGCAAGGGTTGGAATAATAAACTTGTCAAAGGGAAGACTTGCAAAATATCAGGATGTTAATCCTCATTGGCCTTTTCTGGACCCTCATTCTACTGTATTGCTATAATTAAAAGAGAAAGGGTGCAAATATCCTCACTTGTGACTTGCCTTTCTTGAAAATAAATTTATCTGAAAACTGGTGAGTGCTTTTTCAGTAGATTGCTCATTTAATTACCAACACACATTCCTTAGTTTACCTGAAATGCCTCATGGAAATTAGCAGTTTTAAATTAATGTGTTAATTTCCATGAGGCAGTGTTAATTTCCTTCCATTTCCAGTTTTGAGTTGATTAACCATGGTGAGTGTGATGATTTATCTCTATCTATCTACATACCTACCCACCCAGCTACTCAACATCTTATGGGCATCTACTTTGAAGAAAATAAGAATACAAATACAAATAAAAGGCTGTTATTGCTTCCAAGATTTAGAAGAGTAGAAAGCTGCACCCTGCAGAATTGATAGTGGAAGCTTTGTATGTAGACATCTGCAATATTATGTGGTGAGGGATCTAACAGAAACTGGCAGAGTTTTACGGGTCTTGTAGAAACTATGCCAAACTTTGACTTCCCCATCTTAAAGATACCAGAAGGGCCAAATTGCCAGTTATTCCATTTCTAGCCCCACTAGATCCCTACATTCTTTTCCCCCAGGCAATCACAGTCATTCTAAAGGGATTTTATTCTGGCAACTATCTAATATCTTTTCTATTTTAAAAAATGTACTTATGAACTTCAGATATCAAGAACTGAGTTTATCATGTCCCTTAATTCATGGCTCATTAAGCAGTTCTTGCAATCAACTCTGGCCTCTTGTGAGGCTAAGACCAATAAGCTAACAGGAGCAGGAGTATGCATTGAAAAAGTAGCTCTAAATGAGAGCATTAATCTCTTCTATTGCACATTGATTGCTTACTTGCTTGATTCATTGGCTTAACACTTTGTTCTGCAAAGGATGGGAAGCAGATGAGAGTAAGTTAGACATTGCAGTCACCGAGGTCAACAGTAATCCTTCTTGAGTTGCCTATTTTCCTTGATTTGAAAAACTGAAAATACCACATACTTCACAAAGACCAAGGATGTTAAACCCCTTTTGATGGAAACTTACATTTCTGAGAACCTGGACTGTTTCTATGAACAAGAAAATTATGAGCTTAATTCAGAACATTGTGGGGCTAAGTAGTTCTGCCTTGCCTTTTCTTTCTAGGTTCTCTCTCTCTCTCTCTCTCTCTCTCTCTCTCTCTCTCTGTCATCCCTTCACTCTCAAGGAATTGCCTGCTCATGCTTTGCACCACATTATGTCACCATTATTCCTCCTTTTGGAGGAAAAGCCCTCCCACATGACTTCATTTGGTGACATCAGTTCAGGAAATAAATATTTCTCTAGAAAGCAATGTTGCTTCCTTTTTTGACATGTCTCATAAAGCATAACTGAATGAAATGAAAAGTAATGGAACAGTTTCAAGTCATCATAGCTTTTTACATTATGGGATTTTCCATTAACAACTGAGATCAATATTTTCATTGCTGTTAAATGACAAAAACTTAGGCAAATTTTCTCACCAGCTGCTTGGGGCCATTTGGCTAACACAAGGCCCACTTTAAAACCTAAGTCTTTTCATTCCTGCTCGCCTCTAGCAATAACTTTCTCCAAATCACTCTTAACACTGCAGCTAATGCAGTTTTCTTAATCCCAGCACTTTGACAAAGTCAAAAAAATTTATATTTTTCCAATGAGGTCTTCATAGCCTGAGTCTAACATTTTTCCCCAGGATCCTATTAAAAACATAGCATTCTGCTACGTGTATTTACCAATTGCTACAAATGCTGTCTCTTTCAGGATAGTTTTTGGTTCTAATATTCTGTCCAAGCTTTCTATGCATATTCTTATTTATAAGTCCCACTTATAAATAATGGTTCTCAGAAACGAATCCCAGCTTTCAAGGAATCTTCCATTCTGTTGCAGAGGCAGAACCACAAAACAAAAACTAGAAGACCAAATAAAAAGTGCCAGGATTATTAATACAGACAAGAGCATTGTATCATTTCAGAGTAATTTAGGGCCAGGAAGGTAACGAAACCCCACCCTGAAATGAAAGCACAAGCATGGCCTTCGCACAATATTCTACCCATTCACATTTGGAAAGTAATGAACTTGTTAACGTCTTAAGGGATATGTGGACTGCAGTTGAGGGCACTGATGAGCTGGCAGGAGGATGTTCTCAGCACAGTGAGTGAGTGGACCTTCTGCAGACCTGCAAGCTGAGTCCATGCCAATGACTGTGGCTTAGTGTGACTCACATGGGGATGCACAGAACATTATCTGTACGGAGACACATGCTTCCAGCTCACGACGAGCTGAGTACAGAGCAGGAGCGGTGACAATGGTAAGGCCTTGAAGACAGCTAACTCAAGAGGGTGAAATTCGAAGTCAATCCATTCCCATATTCCATATTCCCATATGCCATTCCCTTATAACATGCATAAGTCTGAGTGGGTAAAGGACTGGGAAACTTGGTGAAAAACAAAGAACACTGGAAAAGGGGTTAAAAGGCTTAGATTCTGCTTCTTCTGCACACTCAAGTTCCTGGGAAATCCATTCATTTTACTGGACCTTTGTTTTGTCCTCTGCAATATAAGGTGATTGGAGTAGAAGGGTGGCTCTTTATACTTTTTTTTTTAAAAAGGTAGCCTTTCATTAATAAAATCTTACATAAAGTTATATAAAAGAGGCAGAAGCAATGCCATGCTGGTTAAAGGGGGCAGAGAAGTTTCCTGGTTGGCATTCCCTTGGCTTTCCCTCCACAGAGCCCCAGGGTGCTATATAATAGAGCCTGAGACTGAGACTGCCAGCCTCCACATCTCCAAGCTGCCTTCCAGCTCTGACACTGTGAGAAAAAAATGTTCCTTGTTTTCCCAAGGACGTATAAATTCACTCTCTTTTTTTTGATGTGAATGAAATGAAAGGAAGTGCAGACTAGGGCATGTGTATAGGCCAGTTAGCTTCATTTTGTTTTCTGGCATCACGTGGGGAGTGTAAGAGCAAAGGCGAGTTCTGTACCCCAAAACGATCATCCTTCACTCCTCCATTAAGTAACTAAACAAAAAAAAATGAACATAAAGAAGATAACAATATAATTCCTGACTATCACTCTCTGCTTGCCCATTCCCACCTCCATGAAAGACTCGGGTGAGCCCATGAGCTCCTCTTTCAACCCCATTGCTAAACCCGGGGAGGATTAGGGCGGGAGATTGAAGTTTGGTCTGGAGGAAAGAAGAAAGAGAAAACTTTGGAGGAGGAGATGAGTCACTTCCAGGAGGGTAGGTGTGGGTGTTGACTTAGGAACATCAGCCTCTACATCCTTGGTGATTTTTCTCAGGGCCCTGGTAGTAGCTGACCTCCAACATCCTTTGCAGGGATATTAGAATAAAATTAATCCCTAAGATTATTTAGATTCCAGGTTATTTGCTGTCACAAAGTGCATGATGTCTTGTAAATCACTAATTCTGGCAAGCCCATAAATAGGGATTCTTCATAGGAAGTACATTTTTATACTCTACTTCACAGGGAGTATCCCTTTTTTAAAAAAAATTCTTAGCCTCTCACCCACCTTCTTTCATTTACTCTTCTTCCTCTTGTTATCCAGAAATAGTGGTAGAGCAAAAGGACTGTCAGAATTTGTTACTGGAAAAGAGGTAGTAAAAGAGAAGAATAATAACCATTCTTCCGTTTTAAACATGCCCATTGCTTCTCCATTCAAGGCACTTCTCTCCCGTTGAAGTGAGTATTACTGTCTTGTCTATTTCTTAGGAGCTACTGAAAAAGAATTTTGTCTAGATATTCTAAGTATTAGACAAAGTATAAAGCATGAATGTAACAGTTCAGAGAAGAGTCAATGTACTTACTAAAAACATGAAGAAGCCAGGATAGGTTGTGCTTATTTAATTAAATTCCGAAAAGTGCATATAGCCCTCCAGATTGAATCCAAAATAAGAGGAAATAAATGTTGTCTTATCCAATATTGAGTTATTTGTTCAACCTGGGAAGCTCTGCAGAAGTTATTTATTACAATGAGGAAACTGTTGAAATAATCAGGCTGTGATCTCTGAACAACTAACAAAGATTGGTTCTCATCTTAAGTCTAGGATACTAGCCATTTTTTTAAGTATAGACTCATAAAATTTCAAAAAGAAAGCAACCTTAGTTATATAGCAAAGTACATCAAAATCTAGTGGATTAAAATAACAATCATTAATGTAGCTGTGAATCTGCAATTTGCGCAGACCTTGGTGGGGAAACCATGTCTCTGCTCCATGTGATATCAGTTCAAACTGTTTATGTGGGGCTAGAAGGTCCACTTCTAAGATGACTGTGATATTGTGATATAATACGAAATATATATGTGGACTGTGTCCCTGGTTCCTGGCACAAAGCTCCTAAAACCCTTGGAATTCCTTAAGTGGTAGGAGTAAAAGGAGCATCTTTTGTGTACTCGTAGATAAGCCCTTTTTTAACATTACCTGAATTTATGCTAATGATGTGATGCTTGGAGAATGGGGGCCATTTGCTGGAGAAAATAACCTTGTGATTAGGAGGTTGGAACTTTCATCCCCATCCCTTGATCTCCAAAGGGGAAAACAGGGATAGAGATTGAGTTCAGATACCAATGGCCAATAATTTGATGAATCACGTATACATAATGGAACCTCCAAAAAACTTTCAATGATGGGACCCAGGTTGGTGAACACATGAAGGTACTGGGAAGGTGGCACACTGGAAAGGTCACAAAAGCTCTCTACATCCCCACCCCATACTTCATTTTATGCATCTTTTCCATTTAGCTGTTCCTGAAATGTATTCTTTATAATAAACTGATAAACATAAGTAAGAGTGTCCTACAGTTTCATGAATGATTATAGCAAATTTTCAAACCTGAGGAGAGAGTTATGGGAATGCCTGATTTATAGCCAATTCATTAGAAGTACAGGTGACAACATGGGACTTGCAATTAATATCTAAAGTAGGGGCTGTCTTGTGATACTGAGCCCTTACCTTGTGAGATCTGCACTAATTCTGGGCAGTTAATGTCAGAACTGAGTTAAATGATAGGACAGTCAGTAAGCATTCACAGAGAATTAGAGA